TCTCTTGGTTGCTAAATATGGCCATCTGTAGGAAAGGTCATGTTCTCAGACCTAATTAAGAAAACCAGAGGAGACAAATGATGGAAATGTGTAGTCCTAATGATGGCCTGACAGAGCTGCCAGGTTACTGCAGATAGGCAGAGCCAGGTTGTGGCATGGCTGGCTTCAAGCAAAGTGTCAAGAAAGAAGGGAGTGCTTTCTGCAGCTTTTGCCTCACAGTAGTGATAAATTTGGTTCATTGCCTCCACTTTTGGAATAAATAATTTTTTTTTTTTGTCTGTTTAATTCTCTTTCTTTTAATGGTTAGCTTTTAGTCTCCTGCATCTCCCATTAATTGAGATGAAGCCTGAACTTTACAGTTCCATATGAGAGAAAAGTGCTGAAGAACTTAGGAAAGATTTGTGCCAATACCGAATATTTCTCTTTTTAAAAATAGGTAGTAAGTAGGAAGTAAATTATCCTGCCTTTGAGCCTAGAAAAAAAAATCTTAATGCTTGGGTTAAGTGCATTTTCTTTCTGTACATGTAGAAAGTGAATAATGGCCTAAAAAGTGAATACTGTCATGTAGATTGAATCTATTACTAAAGCACTTGTGCTACTGCAGCTGTAGGAGGTGGGGTGAATGCAGCATTTTAGTTATTTTCTGCAGTTATTCATGCTGCATCTTGTTTGGAATGGAAAATTAAGTATTTCTCACGTTTTTGGGGGGGCAGGTGGGGTGACCTCAGTTACTTTTTATGGGTGTTCTTTAAACAATTTGTATTTTAATTTTTTTCTAGGTGGACTTTTATTAGTCAATGAATTGAGCTGAATTTAATTTTGCATGGCAAATGAACAGCAGCAACTGCTTTTATCTGTACAGCATCTATCACTGTGTGTCCACTGTTACTGTTCTTGGACCACACAGACACAAGGAACAATAATGGCTCTGCTTATACAGCCCTTGTGTTTTCACAGTGCCTCTGTCTGTTTGTCTGGGTGTGGAAGTAACAGCACCAATCTTATATTGTCTGATTGAGAGGTAGAGCCAAAACAGGGATGTCCTGGATCCTGTGTTTGGGAAGAAGGCTGCTTACATGCTGAGGTATCAGTGTGAGACCAGAGGTGCACTCAAAGTAGATTAGATCTTGCAGAAAGCAAGGAAATACAGAAGAGAAACCTGTGTAAATATGCAGAGTATATAGTGAGGAAGTCTAATTAATAACAAATTATACATGGAAATTTACTTTTGGCAGTACTTAATGGACAAACTTATGAAGCCTTGGCTTTGAATATAAAATAGGGGCACTGCTTTCCTCTGGGACTGAACTGGTCTGTTTTTCTGTTTTTGGGGTACAGTTCTACTCTGCAAAGAATGTGTAGAAGGAGAGGGAGGGGAAGTGGTTGTGTGTATTATTTTAAGAACTTTTGACATTCAAGTCTGCTCAGTCAGTGGCTATGGAATGATTTCTTCAGTGTCTCAGTGCCTTGAGCTTGCCCTTTGGTTTGGAGGGGACTGGCTACATTTTCTTCCTTTTTTATGCAGCAGCCATCACTGGCAATGAGAGTAAACCTGCCAACCTATGAAATATTTATCAACATCAATACACAGGTATCAACAGTAGAATTTTTTTGTCTCATTCAGTCGCTTCAAAACATTTGAAATACAAGTGTGTGTGAAATTCAGTATTTTCTGACATACTTGACCAAATGCTGCATGTTGAAGTGAGCACTGCACCCAAGTTCTCTCTGTAAAAAAATACAGTAAAAATGTACTATGTATCTATTCTAGCCATATAACAGATTTTTAAAAATTTGTTTTTGCATAGCCTCAAGGAATGTCTTCTGTTGGATAGAGTACCAGTAGTTGCAACTGTTGGGGTAAATCAGATCCAGTAGAACTCCATGGAATATTACTTAGCCTTGTCTTTTCCCTGGCTGCCACATGGACATTCCTTATGGTGACCCTTTTAGAGCAGAGCATCTGAGGGAGCCTGCTTGGGACATGCAGTGCCATTTCTAGCTCTTCATGAACTGAGGTTGTTCTGTTTCCTTTGGGCACAAGGATCTCTGGGTGTCTCTTCATCTGCCTCTCAAAGCTGGCAGGAGCAGCAGACCAAGAGGGTGGGACACACATCAAGAGAAGTAAATTGAGTTCAGGCTCCTTTGCGTGACATCATGGAGCCATCTGTATGATAAAAGCATAAAAATAATCTGCACTGATAAGAGCATTAAAATGGACAATAATCTAAAAGTACAGTTCTATTTTGGAAAGTAGTAATCTAAAATTGTCAATTTTTCAATCCAACAGATCTATTCCAGTGAGCATTAAAATATAATTTGCTAAATCTTGGGCCAGAAAGTACTGATTTAAAGTATTGCAGGACTATCTGATTTTTTCCCTACTTTATAATCTGTGAAACAGTCTATTAAGTTTAAGTTGTTTGTAACCATTTGAAATTCTTTCACTTAGAAATTTTTAAGAGTTACATGCATAATCATTTCCCTGTGCAGTTCTTGCTCTTGATATTCGTCCATTTAGGATAGACAAATCCTTTCCTTTGAGGAAAGCAAAGAGAGAACACTCTTCACACTGAAATAAAAATAAATTGGAGTTTTTTTAATAGAGCTTTTTCTGAACTTTTAGAATCTCATTGGCAATGCAGTCAGGTGAGTATTAGGAGTCATTTGAATATTAAATGTATCCTTCCAGTGCCACCAAATCAAGTATATGTTTCATGTAAATATTCAAGTTCTTCTTGTACAAAAAGCCTAATTCTATCTATCTCTGGTAAGAATTTGGTAGAATCAGTTTCTCTCAAAAGATGCAGTTCAATCCCATTTAAATTTTTTTAATAAAATTTCTTTTAGTGAATTCCACAAGGGAAATTAGGATAAGAGAATGCTTGAAAAAAGTATTTTGCCTTAGACTTTTAAAATCTGATTTAAGGTATTTTAATTAGTATTCCCAATTTTCATATCCAATTTCTTGAGCTCCTCTTCTGTGATTCTTTCTTTTCCCCAAGTATTTCTAATCCTTGACTCTTTTTAATTTTTAATTCTTAATTTTTAATTAAGAATTAATCAAACTCTAAGCTATTAAGTCCTTCCTAAACCATTATTATTTTTTGGCTTTGGTAGGACTCATGCTGACAAACAGCATTTTTTTGGGTTTATTTTTTAATCACAGAGATATGTTTAATTTGAAGAACAGGTTTTGCACCACTGCTTTTGAACATAAATAAAACCGTTTTTTTGGATGTTGGGGTGGAGATTTTGAAGCAGTGTGTGATTAAAAGGCTTGGTTTTAAGACTGAAGCTAAAAGAGCACCATTGCTGGAGACCTCTCAAAATGAAAAAAATGAGTGTTTCACTGCTAAGGTTTGCAAAGAGAAAAGGGAGAAGTGGGCATGAGCCCTGAGGGAAAAAACCAGAAGGCTGTATTGTAATGTCAGAATATCTAAAATGCAGAGACTAAATGTGCTTGTCAGTCCAGGACTTTATCCAATTCTAATATGTGGTTATAATTTTTGCATTTTCCTTGCTTTTCCTCTCCATACTGAGTGTTCAGAAGTACCTGCTTTCCCTCCCATGGAAATTAAGGTCTTTTGTGTCATATTCTCAGAATTGGCACTGAGGCTTTGCTCCAGTGTTTACAAAACAAAGCTGGGTATGGAATGAATGGGAAATGGAAATTAACTTACTTTGTGTAGCAATTTTTGTATCAGTGACTTGAAAAGTTTGGCTTAGATATTCATTAAAATAATAGTTCACTTGCTCTCTTCTAGATTTCTGGAAATATCTGTGACTTAAAAGAAGGCTGCTTTTTATTTTCTTTTTTTAATCTCTCTCTCTCTTTTTACTCCCCACCCCCTGGTTGCATTAGATCTTGTCCAGATACTTAATAGAAATTGCTAGTGTGTTCCCAGGTAACAAATTACATCTGTCTCTGAAAATGAGTCAATGTAATCATGACAAATTCATGAAATAAAGGGAAAATATGTTGCTGCAGTCTTGGGGAACATGAGTCAATATACTTTATGTAATTATTTAATAAAACATCTTTTCTAGTGCACTGAAGCAGCCTAAGATACTGAGGCAGTTGTATTTATGCAGGAATAAACAAACTTCCAGTAAAAGCTGGTGACCAGAAGTATGCAATTATGCATTTCCAGAAATACTCATTAAACCAGTCTGCTTAAATTTTAATCAGACTTCTATGTATGAAACAGTCTTGATAAGAGGAAGTTAAAAAAAAAAAAAAGGAAGGATTTTTATGATAAGCTATTCAGATCTTCTCATGCTCCAAATGGGTTTGAATTTTTTTAATTTGACTTCTTGTGCAAATCTGTATAAAAGTTAACAATACAAAATCCTGCATGCTGGCTTAATTCTGTTTCATGGGAGCCATATTATTTTCAGTACAGAAATACTGCATTGATATCAAAGCTGTCATAAAAAGGATATAATTTGGGGATTAGTGAGATATTTGAAATATTTAAGCTTTGTGTAGTTCATATGAGAAATGTCAGAGGACTGATTATCAGTGCATGAATTTGTATAGGAAAGTGAAGTCACAGGAAATGCATTGTAGGAAATAGGAAAGCTACAAATTGCCAGGTACTGCCAGTATTTTTTGGCCTTTTTTATCTTTCTGATATGTCTGAGCTAAATATTGTAATCTCTGTTATATCTGAGACGTTACATCTGACACGTTGCATAAGAATTCACAGCTGGATATGGAATAGACAGCCTGTCGTTTGAAGTTTTTACAAAGGTGTTGGTAAACCCGTTCAAATAATCTGAAAATGGAGTTCAGAGAGCAATGCACAAGATGGTAGTGGATGAAGGCAAGGGTGCATATATTCATCCCTGGAAAGGGTCACTAAGTTTTTTGTGTTTTACAGTTATCTGGTGACTGTCTGTTTTTTGTGGATCACCTTGTTTCTTTGGAAGCCGCAGTTATAAGTATTGTTGCTTTCACACGGAATCCTAATGGGCGCCGTTGTTTGTCCTTGCAGGGCATCAGCAGCCTGTTCAGCTCCCTCAAGGTGGTCCGGCTGCTGCGGCTGGGCCGCGTGGCCCGCAAGCTGGACCACTACATCGAGTACGGGGCGGCGGTGCTGGTGCTGCTGGTGTGCGTGTTCGGGCTGGCCGCGCACTGGCTGGCCTGCATCTGGTACAGCATCGGCGACTACGAGGTCATCGACGAGGACACCAACACCATCCGCACCGAGAGCTGGCTCTACCAGCTGGGGGAGTCCATCGGCACCCCCTACCGCTTCAACGCCTCCGGCTTCGGCAAGTGGGAGGGCGGGCCCAGCAAGGACTCCGTCTACATCTCCTCGCTCTACTTCACCATGACCAGCCTGACCAGCGTGGGGTTCGGGAACATCGCTCCCACCACGGATGGGGAGAAGATCTTCGCCGTGGCTATGATGATGATTGGCTGTAAGTATTAGAGATTCTGTCTTTCTCGTACTGAGAGAGAGTGGAAATTTTCCAGAGTAGAAATCCATTTAGGTTTAGTTGAGATGTACATCTTTGAGTTAGGTCTGTAAGCTTGCAAACAGAGCTGTTTAGTCTGACTGCCTGTTCTTATAAAAAGCCTATGCTGGGAGAAACTGCTTCAGCCAAAGGACAAGAGATGGGGGAGCAGACACAGAGAGGGCAAACTGACCCAGGAATTCTTTCTGGTAAAGAGGAATTAGTGGCAAATGTCACACGAAATCAGTAGAATGAATACGTGTGAACCCATTGTGAAATTGCATGCACGTGTATTTGAGAGGGGGATGAAAAAGGAACTGGAGTTCCCTGAGGTAAACATGTCTTTTGAGGGGAGCAGTCCCCACATGTGTCCAGGCTGCAATAAACATACCAGCTTTGCAACTTTCACAAAGTTGTGGAGTTTGTTTGCTTCTGCGCATCAGTACTCAACACCAAGTAGCTGCATGTCATCAGTGCTGGTTTCATAAGAACATCTGGAACCCTGTAAATGTGATGCAGCTAAAAGTATTTTTGGTGGCAGCATAAGCATTACACACTTCCTTACTGGTTAAGTTTAAATCATAAATAGGAGTTTTGTTGTGACTAGTAAAAATTCAGTCATTTTGGAAAAAATATTCTGTCCGTATCATCTCAATATGCTCTTGTAATATCCATAAAATGCTTAAAGACTGCAGTGTTAAGAATTAATGCACCTTTTTGCCTCCATTTTAGTATGTGGCAAACTTTTCATGTCTGAGAGCTGTATACATTTGATAAGTGGGAGGAGGTCTGGGAGCATCATCTTCTGAGGGAGAGAGAACTGGGACTCTTTAGGAGCCACAAACTCTGCCGTGGGCTGAGCACAGAGACATATCCTAAAGCAAGGGGGTTGCTGCTGTGCTTGGGCACCTCTGGCTCAGACATCCTTGTTAGAATGGGTACATGTTGCCAAGCTGTCCAGCTTTTGGCCATGTTGTCATTTCAGTGCAGGATCTGCATTCAAAGTGCCTTGAGAGCTACTTGGAGTTAACCATATGGTGGCCACTGTTAAACCAGGTCATGGTTTTCTAGATAAGGGTGGAGCTTGAACCAAATTAAGGAAAAAAATCTGCTTTGTCCATGGGAAAAGTTGCTGTTGTATGGAGAAAGATAGAAGCTTCTGTATGGTAACATTGCATCCAGAGGAGGAGAAAGTCAATCCTTGCTAAGCAAAAAATTAAAACCAAACACATAATGAAACTCAATTAGCAGTACAGTGCCTGCTGCAGAAATGTGAACTTTTGATTCTGATGTGTCCTTTTACAGCAACACTGAAGTCACACACTGAGGTTATGTGTGTAGTGTTAAGTCTGCTGAAGGTTAGTGAAAAAAACTATCAAGACAAACATTGTTGATCACACAGGGATTGGGATATTTGAGCTATAAAGATTGTTAATTTTGTTTTTCTAGCTTTTTCATCTGCCAAGAGTCCCATCATCCTAATAAAACACCCTGTAGGAGAAGGGAAATTTATATAAAATATGGATAAAATTTTGCAGTTTTCTCATGAGAAGGTGCATTAGACAATTTAGTGGTGTAGCACAAATCAGGCTTCCAAGCATGTTTCCTGATAAAGGTGCCCATTTGATCAGGAAATATCCTGATCTTTGGCTTATTGTTATGACCATGATACTAGCTAGAACAAGAACAGCTAGTATTAATCAGTATTATTATTTAGTACTATGAATAATGATTAAGCATAACCTTCAAAAAGTCATGAATGTACATGGGGTTATTTTGGACTTGCACCTGTTCCAAGCTCTTCATATGAAAATGTGGCAGAAAGAAACTGAATTTATGCATAAATAATGTTGATTTAGATGAGCAGAGAGAAAATGATAACCTTTCTTTTTGTGTATTTTATCCTCTGCTCATTGGAATAGCAATAAGTGCTGTATCAAAAGACTAGTGGCTTAGACAATACTGTGGCCAGCTAAGCTTACAGTCACAATTTCATTAGCAAGATCACCTTTGAAATTTTTACTTTATTTTTATTTCTGAAAGAAAATTAGTTTTCTAGAAATGGTGATGGAGAAGGTGAACATGTGTGAAAATGTGTTCAAGCCCCACCTTTCTTGCATGGGCTGGGTGTGAGGCTATCCTGCAGAAAGTCAGGGTGCAGTGCCTGGCAGGGGCTTGCCCTCCACTGGTGGCTGTCACAGAAGCTGCAGCTCTGTGGGTCCTGGATCGGTTCAAAGTCGCAGCACTGCCTTTGCACCCTCCCTCTGATTATTGGTATTGATGGTTTGGCTTCAGTTTGCTCCATGAGCTGTGCCTCCATGGTTTGGTAGGGGCACTCAAGAGCTGCTTCCCTGGAGTGCAGATGTTGGCGTCAGGTAGAGGAAAAGGAAGAGTTTACTTTTAGAAGTGTGAGTCCTTCCTGCTCAGAATTATTTTTAATCCAATGGATTTGATTGTGCAAAGTTCTTGTACCTCTGGGAAAGGCTGGTCGTGGTGTGTGCATTGCCAGGTGTGTGGTGGCTTTGCAAGGCTTTCAGGTCCTTGTTTCTGGCAACTTGGTTTCTAGTTTTGTTTTGGTTTAGTGGATCTGTAGCTTGAATAGTTTCTGAAGAAGAAAGATGTGAATGGTAGTGATACTTTTTTCTTTGATCTTGGATTGTTGTCTGTTGAGCCTGTGTTTCTGAAGAGGACTTGCTGTGTAAACAAGTGTTTTTAAGACTTGCATTGCTGTCTTTTCCACTGGCAAATTGACGGAAGGCTTTGTGCTACAGTAAGTACAGGCCTGTGATGACATCCAAATGGGGTGTTTGTGCCAGAAAGGCTCAGAATATTAGAGATATTTGAAAGCATAAGCAGTTCATTATTAGTGTCTTTCCATGTGTCTTTAGTATGCTTATGCCCAGAGGGATGGAGTTAACACTGTAATTCCATCTTCCATAAGACAAAATCTGGTTTGCTCTGCTGCTCAGCCATGGGTATGTCCCTTTCTGCTCACTGCTTACTCCCTCTGTAAAGCTGATCCTGTGGCAGAATTTCATTTGTGTTGCATTGACTCTGTAGATACACTGACCACCAGTAGTAGTACTTTGCTGTGATACCAGATAGCTGTTTAAAAAAGTAGGCAGGACCACTTCCATTTTCTGTTTTATTCAAGCTTTCATTATGGTAAATAATAAATCCAGGTAGCTTTTAATGAAAAATTTAGAAATACTTTAGTGAAGCTGTCCTGAAGCAGTGGGAATTTTGGCTGAGTTGAATGCAAATGTTGCCCCAGTAAAAAGTGTAATGTATGTAGCTTGTAGGAGGAGTGGGTACATGATATTAGTTGTACACAGACACTGGGAAGGCATCATAGAGCTGAATAAGCTGTGTGTGAGCATTGAGCCTGTGGGGCTGGATTTGTTGGTTGTGTTTACACTGGGGACAAAGTTTAAGGAAGCCTGGCCTTGCGTCAGCAGCCCTGGTCTCTGCTTCAGGGCCTCCTTCTGCAGGGAGGTGTTCTTGTGCTCTCCAGTGCAGTGATGCACATGCTGTCCTGCTGGCCTCATTGTGGCTGCAGTTTTCAGAGAGAAAGTGTCTTGCTGTTGGTTATTTTGATGTGGGAAGGTGAAGCCCCTAATTAGATTTGTGGGGGGCTGTGGCACACTCATAACCCCAGGGATCTTTTGTCACTTCGTCAGCTCCACTGGAGGGGTAGGTGAAAATTGCTCTTGATTCTTGACCTCAAATAATGCACATCTGTTTGGGAGGATCAAGTTATTTTAAAATAGAGATGAAATACCCAGTGGCTGCTTTTAATGATTTCTTTTCTGTGGAAGCTTGTGTTTCTTGTTACTGTGTAGCTGCTTTTCCTGAACATATGTTGAATTGTAGTTTTGCAAAGCAAAATATCTTCACATCTCTGAACTGACCTGCATGGTTTTGCCTCACTTTCTTTATTGAGTGTACGTGTGTGTATATATAGAGAGAAGGATGAGTTACTAGGCGAAGTAAAAGCAGTTAATTCCTCAGCTTCATTTTAAATGAAAAACATATTTGCTTATCCCTTTCCATAGATGGCCAGTAAATTGCTAATTACTAGGGAAGATGTCTACAGACAGATCTTTCAGTGAGGCTGACATTACATAAAACCTGGCTTAAAACCACTGTCTGGGTCTGCAGAAAGGCATATATTTTCCATTTTTAATACTTGAGAAAAAAAAAGAAAAAAAGCTGTTTCAATTTTTGATTTCTTCCCTGTGGAGACATATGCCTTGAAATTACAGTCTTTATATATTTTTCTCAGTGATTCTGTCAGGTTGGGTTGGGTATTGTTTATTTTTCCTAAGCACTAGCAAAAATCAGAGGACTTTCATTTGCAGTTTTTGTATCTGGGCACTGTGTCAGCAATCCCCTCACTATGCAGGTGGAGTAGGGATGAGCAGTTCTAAAAATGCTTGGCATTCTTGACTTTTGACATAAAATAATACTGATGGATTCTTGCCTATTTGGATTTTGAGCAATGGAGCAAAATCCATCATTTGGGGAGCCTTTTGTTGATGTTTTCAGTTGCATTAAAAGATTCCAAGTTTTTGGTGCCTGTTTATGCTAAATTCTCCTTTGTTGGGTAGGGGCTTACTGGAACTACAGGGCTGGACACATCCAAAATACGAAGGAAAAGGCACATCTTTGAATGCTAAACGAAATCACAAATTCCCCTGTGAAACACTAAGAGCAGACAGTGAGAGGGATCATGGAAAAAGACAAAAGTAGGAGTTAAAAGGTCAGACTCATGAACATGCATGCTTGCATACTGTGATGAATTGTCAGCCACTGAATTCATTAATCAAAACAGTCCAGAAACCCAAGCCACTCCTCTTCTGCATGATGTGGTGTGCAACCCAAGCATCATGCAGTCCTGCAGCACTTCAGCTGCTGTTTCTGATTCAGGTAGACACAGGTCCCAGGAGAATGGAGTAGCTGTC